GTCCACTTGCCAAGGAAAAGCACAAGGTGCTATCTACTTTTCTCTTTAGGATTTAGATTATCATTTATGTGCTGCTGCACAGTGAAACCTGGCCTGTGTGGGCATGAAAGCTGGTTGGCATTGTGTTTGATTCAGTTTTTTGGATGACTGACTGTTTTCACTGTGCCGTGGGTATGCCTCTGTATTTTTTTCCCCTTTGGCCATCTTTTTCTGAAAATAAAGTGATGGATCCTCTAGCCAACACAGGCTCTCTGTGTTTGTGTAACCTACCTGAGTGATGCAATGGGTTAGTCTGGTTGTTGGCCAGTTTGTAACCCAAGAATCCAGATAGCCGCAGACTTTGAGTATCCGTATGGCTCTCTGTAAAATTAAACTACATAGAAGAATTCTTAAAGTTTGGCTGGGCATGGTGGCTCACTCCAATAATCCCAGCACTTCAGGAGGGCAAGGCGGGCAGATCACTTGAGGTTAGGAGTTTGAGACCAGGCCTGCCAACATGGTGAAACCCCATCTCTACTAAAAATATAAAAATTAGCCAGGCGTGGTGGCATGCACCTGTAGTCCCAGGTACTTGGGAGGCTTAAGCAAGATAATCGCTTGAACATGGTGGGCGGAGGTTGCAGTGAGCCAGGATGGCACGACTGCACTCCAGCCTGGGTGACAGAGCAAGATTCTGTCTCCCCAACCACCTCCCCCCTCCCCTTGCCCCTGCTTCTAAAAAGAAATCTTAAAGTTCTACAGCATTAGAGTGTTAACTCATTTTACTGCCTGGGAACTCGGATGCACTGCTTCTTTTTAATCTATGTAGAGACTTCTTTTTTTGTTTCCAGTGCAAAGCTGTAGGAAGAAGAAAAATCTAGTCCCTGGGGGTGTTGAATCAGGTGGATGGTGGGCGTTGGACTGTGAACTCCTGATGCCTCTGGGTAAACTCTGAAGGAAATTCTGTTTCATTACTTGCACTCAGCCTCCTATTTTTTACTAAGGTATTCTTGAATACAAGTGCACTGGCCAAAAAGTAAACCTAGGCATAGAAAGGAAGGCGCTCTTCTTCCAAGAATGTTAAACACCTTTGAAGTCTCTGTTGCCACCTTATCTTTTAGATAAAATAATTAATTATGTATTTTTAGCCTAGTCCTGAACTTTGTCTCAGTTCCTTCACAGTTGAATCTGCAGTTGACTTTGTCCACTCAATGATGGTCCTTGTGACTCTCTGTTCTTGGCTTTTCTGGTGCTTCCATCTTTCTGTAGGAAGTTTGGGACTGATATTCATCATTTGCTTTCATCACCTTTATTTTGCTTCATTCAGTTTTGTAAAATCAGGGCAAATGGCCACTGGAATGTACAGTGATTGAAGAAGCAAACTGTCAAAGATGGTGATTAGTGGTCAGCCATCCCTCTCTGGATCACTGTATTAATAAATGCTTGTTTGCCAGTGACAGTTTTTTTTTGTTTTGGGGCTTTTTTTTGAGACTGAGTTTTGCTTTGTCGCCCAGGCTGGAATGCAGTCGCCTGATCCCGGCTTACTGCAACCTCCGCCTCCTGGGTTCAAGTGATTCTCATGCCTCAAACTCCTGAGTACCTGGGACTACAGGTGCCAGCAGCACACCTGGCTAATTTTTTTTTTTTTTTTAAAGTAGAGATGGGGTTTTGCCATGTTGGCCAGGCTGGCCTCAAACTCCTCACCTTAGGTGATCTACCAACCTCGGCCTCCTAAATGGCGGTGATGTTTGAAAGTAGATTCAGATTGAGGTGGGTAACTTAGTGGAGGTGTGTCAACTCTTCTCTGTGCACTGTCTTAAGAGAATTTCTGAATACCCACCTATAAGTGCATAAGAATTTAAGTAGATGTGCTATTATGCTAATTATATACAAAGTAAAAGTTTTTTCACAAGGAGAATTTTTTTTCTCTAGCAATTAACTTGCTCACCCTAGGGGTGCATACACCCCACTTCTGAGACCCTTAAGTTTGTGGCATCATTAAATGATGCATGAAGGAGGGTGTTTAAGAAAGCTGACACAGGACCGGGTGCGGTGGCTCAAGCCTGTAATCCCAGCACTTTGGGAGGCCGAGGCGGGTGGATCACGAGGTCGAGAGATCGAGACCATCCTGGTCAACATGGTGAAACCCCGTCTCTACTAAAAATACAAAAAATTAGCTGGGCATGGTGGCACGTGCCTATAATCCCAGCTACTCAGGAGGCTGAGACAGGAGAATTGCCTGAACCCAGGAGGCGGAGGTTGCGGTGAGCCGAGATTGCGCCATTGCACTCCAGCCTGGGCAACAAGAGCGAAACTCCGTCTCAAAAAAAAAAAAAAAAAAAAAAAAAAAAGCTGACACAGGAACATGTTTGAAATAATACATTTTCTCAAGGGTGTCCCCTAACCATTTTCTTTGGAAATTATATTTTTGCCCATTGTTGACTTGAAATTGTTCTCACCCGGCTACCAGTTCACCCAGTGTATTCTGAAGGAAAATGAATGAAAATGGAAACCTCTCTCATCCTAGGCCATAGAGCAAGGGAGGCTGCACTGGCTGAGAGGCCGTGCAGCAGGATGAAAAAGCTGCACTTTAGCCCTGTGGCGCTGGCCTTGAGTCGGTCCCGTGCTTGCTGTGTGACTTTAGGAGAGTTACCTAATTTCCCTGAGCTTTAGTTTTCTCCCTCATAAGTAGGCTTGCTGTGAAAATGAAGTGAAATTATGTTAATCTGCATGAGCATTTAATGTGGTGCCCGGTACACAGCATGGGTGTGGCAGTAAGCGCTGGCTGCTGTCGTAATTGAATGCTTAGCTACATGCTGGGCCCTGTGCCAGGCATGGCTCATGTGGGATCTCATATTCAGTCTTGGCAGTAACCCAGCAAGGTAGGCACTGTACATGTGAGCAGCCTGAGAAATTCTGCATCATACAGCTGGTATCCAAATTCAGGTCTGAGACCAAAGTCCAGATCTTTGCACTAAGCCTTGTTGCCTGGCACAGGTGAGAGTGCCTAGTCCACAGTGGGTGTGCATATCTGTTTCTCTTCGAATGACCTAGGCAAGTGGGTAATAATGCTTGTGAGTCCTTTGAGAGAGAAGTAAGTTCTTGTCTTTGGTGGGGGAAGCATCAGGTGGCCAGCATTTGTCCAGTGTCCAGTACCTGTCTTCCTCCAAGCCCAAGCAGTGGTGGGTGCTTTCTCAAAAAGAAACCAGCTCCTGACCACTTTGGCCATATTGGGCCTTTGCTCCTCTTCTCTAACTGTTGATAAGAGGGCTGTGGGTAGTTAGTGATAATCGAGGTTGTATCCCAACTAAGTGATGGAGCTGGACAAGTGTGTTGATCTCTGTACCCAATTGTGCCAGGTACCTGGGGAGGTAGGGGCATGGCTCTCTGGGGGTAGGGGGTGAGTGGGTGGCCTGCAGTCTGCTGTGACACCTGAGAAAGGGCTTCTAAGCCATTTTCTATCAGTCATTTACCAAGTAGCCTGGGGATCCTGTAAAAATGTAGATCCTGATAGATTAGGGCTGGGGTACAGTCCAAGATTCTGCATTTCTAAGAAGTTCCGGGATGAAGGTGGTGGTCACAGACTGCAGCTCCTCTGTGAGGGAGAGCAGTTGGGTTTTTCTGTGTCTGCGGCACCTGATCAGTGGTTAGTGCCTGAGTGCAGGGTGGCCAGAATTTTACTTGAGCCGCTTGGCTCCTGGCACCTTCTGTGGTAGGCGTTTTCTGGAGTGCGGACATTACCCCAACTGTCTCTGCAGAAAGGTTCCTGCATGTTCCCCACAAGTTCTCAGATGGCTGACTTGGCAAGTGGGCAGTGGTGCTCTTTGGGGCCACCTTGTACTTCGCCTTTCCCTCCCCTTAGCGATGTGTCTCATCCATCGCCCGCACTCAAGTCAGTCCACACTTTTTGGCTAAAATGGGCATGCCTGAGTGGCCTTCCCCTGAGAAGACTGGTGTGGTAACGGGAATTAAGTTGCAGAACATAAGAGTCAAGGCTCATCTCTGCTGTAGGTTGGAGCTGAGGGACTGTTTGGGGATCCCACCTAGTATCAGTGAAGGAACCATGGCAATAGCCAGCCTTGCCCACATGAGGCATCTGCTTTGCCAGGCCTTCTCAGTAGCAGAGGGGGAGGAAGGAGAATGCAGCTATTTCAGCGTTGTCTAGCAGTGCCCAAGAGCTGTGGTTGGGCACCTCACTTACGTCTAACTTCAAATTCACTCTTTGACATTCCTCTCTTCCTCTCCGACCTTGAATGGATTTTGGCTCCGATAATGTCATCCTGAAGTTTCTTTGTCCACATAGCCCTGGCTGGTTGTTAATAAGCTGTCAGTGCAGCCTTGCTCTCAGGAAGCCCTGATGTTTAAAGGAACCGTGTCTTTGTTGTTCTTCTCTGTCCTCTTTCCCTTAGTCCCCGCTTCTCTCTCCTCTCACTCCTCCTCTTCTCTTCCCCTTTCCCTCCTCTTCTTCCCCCTCCCTTCTTCTCTTCCCCCCTCCTCTTCTTCCCCCTCCCTCCTTTTCTTCCCCCTCTCTCCTCCTCCTGTCTCCACCCTCCTCTTCCCTTTTCCCTCCTCCTCTTCCCCTTTTCCTCCTGCTCTCCTCTTTTCTCTCCTCCTCTAAGAAACCCAGTCGTAGCTGGGCACGGTGGCTCACGCCTGTAATCCCAGCACTTTGGGAGGCCAAGGTGGGTGGATCAGGAGGTCAGGAGTTGGAGACCACCCTGGCCAATATGGTGAAACCCTGTCTTTACTAAAAATAGAAAAAAAAAGCTGGGTGTGGTGGTGTGTGCTTTTAGTCTTAGCTGCTCAGGAGGCTGAGGCAGGAGAATTGCTTCACTCTGGGAGGTGGAGGTTGCAGTGAGCCAAGATCACACCACTGCACTCCAGCCTGGGAGACAGAGCAAGACTCTGTCACATAAAGAAACAAAAACAAAAACCCAGTATTAATTCCACACAACGCGTGCATGCAGTAGCTTCTCTGCTTGAGTGAGTTCTTGTTTTCTAAGCACGCACACTAGCCTTCTTGTCCTTTTATTCCCTTCCCACCAACCATTGACTAAGAATGTTTTAAATTTAAACTTTGACTTTTTTTTAAGTAAAATGTTAACTTTTCATCTTTGAAATAAATTCCCATTTGGAACATCAGCATGCAGTTTGAACATTTATTCACCTCCTGAGCTCATACAACAGTTGTGGGAGTTGCTGCCGAAGCGAGCGAAAAAGCCAGATGAGCGCTTCTAAGTTTGGGAGGAAGAGAGAGGTAAGTGAGGCTTGTGGGCGATCACTTGTCAGCTGGGGCCTCTGGAAAGCAAGAGGTTGAGTCAGGATTCTGGGTGCACGTCCTGCCAGTGCCATCACAGAGGGCTTTCCTTCCACGGTGGTGACATTGGAGGTGGGATGTTGTGATGGGGAGGGTTGTGGGGAAGCAGTCAAGTGTGGACTGTTGTATCCTGGACCAGTCACCTCAAAGCTCTGAGTCTTGGTTTCCTTGTACACACAGTGGGGTGAATGCTACCCCTGCTGTTCCCCAGGGGTGAGGGGTCACCGCCTTGGTGAGGACGGTGCTTCGCAGATGTGCAAGCATTTCTGCCATCTCAATAGGTTGGGCTTCCTCCTACCCCCCCCCCCCTTTTTAAAAATGAGGGGATTCAAAGCAAACCCTTTGTTTAACTCAGGAGGGAACTGCTTAACAGGCTGTAGAGCCTATTCCAAGTGCTATTTTGGCACTAATTCCTTTTGGTAGTGGAGTAAAGTTGCGCAATGCAAATGGTGTAACACGCAAGTAATTTGTAGACTCTCACAATAGGTAAACTATTACAATAGTAATATTGTAGACTCTCAATAGGTAAAAGAGCTCCACTTTATGGTTAAGGAAGCTGAGATTCAACTGAGGCCCCAAAGCTAGTTAATGTATTAGTTCTTAGAACATTCTTTGAACACAAAGACTATGATGAACTCCCTTCTGAGTTACTCACAAATACTAGCCCAACCATTCTCCTGCAGGTCTTTGAGAAAGATAAATTAGAAGTTCTTTTTGAGAGGCAGAGGTTGGGGAAAATTCTCGTCACCAACAGAGTGAACTCCCATGTTGGGCTGCAAGGAAACTGAGCAAACCCCAGCCCAGGAAGTACTCACCTTTGGCCTCTTCCCAGAGGATGTCCTGAAGAAACTTCCCCAAGGCCTGGCTGTGCTGCTGGTACTGAACCCCTGACAGCTTGATTCCAACATCAAAGGGTGCGTTGAACTAGGAGGCAGGGCAAGAAGGACCCAGGAAATGTCAGAGGTCATGCTCATCCGCATCCTGCAGCGGGCTCTGGGCTCTCTGCCCTCTTCTCAGAAGTTGGGAGGGAGAATGCTCTTTGGGCCCCAGCAGGGATTGCTGAGTGACACCTCAGCCAGGTTCTCTGGGCCTTTGTCAGGGCCACAGCTCACCTTCCCACTCAGCGTCTGTCAGACACTTACCTTGCAGTCTCACCATGTCTCCCAGCCTTAGCCTCTAAGGGGGTTGCTGGTAAAAGTTACGGTGTCCCCTAGTATGAGTGTTTTATTCCCTTGCAGTTTTGAAGGCAAAAGGTTGAGTCACCAGTGGCAGCATTTCAAGCCCTGGCAGGGGTGGCTCTGAGTGGCAGGGGTCTGCCTGGGATTCACATCGCTGGCCTGCTGGCTCTCTATTCCTTCCCTGCCCCCACTTCTTTCTCTGTTCTCTCTTGGTTTTTTCTTCTCCCTTTTCTCCCTCCTTAGGTATTTTTTCCTCTCATATGCATAGCCCTTTCCTCGATGCCTGGAAAATCAAAAGGAAGCTGATGTTTTCCTAGAAAGAGGCTCTGAGCCAAGTCCTCCTTTCTGTGCCTCCATTTCTTCTCCTCTGCAGGGAGAGCGCCCCATCTCCGGTTTTTCAGGCATTCCTGAGATGATTTATTGGAGCTCAACGCTTTGGGTAAGTGGGAAGGAGCTCTTCTGCAGATAACATGGCAGACTTTCCTTGAGAGCAGAGATCGTCTGTTTGCCAGTGGCTACCTTGGTGCCTGGCCGTGTTGGGCACTGACTTGTCTGAGTCAGTGAAGGATCTTAGTGCTGGGTCATTTGGTCCTCACAGAAGCCTGAGGAGTTGGAGGCCAAGGACTAGAATGCAGGACTTTTAAACCCACCCAGCCCTGAAAACCGCTTTAGTCCCATTGCCCTTCCTCTGCGTCAGGCTGGGCGTCCTCAGTGCCTCCCTGCGGGGCAGGAGCTACCACTGTGCCCGTTTTACAGGTGAGGACACAGGCACAGAGAAGCTATTAAACAACCAATAGCTACGTGTTCCCTTTTCAGAATCTATTCCCTCCCCTTAACTCCACTGTGAAGGTGGACCCAGTGGGGAATGACATGACTGATTGTTATTTTTTGAGACAAAGTCTTGCTTTGTTGCCCAGGCTGGAGTGCAGTGGCACAATTTCGGCTCACTACAACCTCTGCCTCCCAGGTTCAAGTGGTTCTCCTGCCTCAGCCTCCCGAGTAGCTGGGATTATAGGCATGTACCACCATGCCCCGCTGATTTTTTTATTTGTAGTAGAGACAGGATTTGACCATGTTGGCCAGGCTGGTCTTGAACTCCTGACCTTAAGCTATCCACCTGCCTTTGCCTCCCAAAGTGCTGGGATTACAGGTGTGAGCCACTGTGCTTGCCCCCACCCCCCCTTTTTTTTTTAGAGGAAAGTTGGGGCCTTCCATTCCTTCCAGTAAATACTCATTTTTCTTCCATGTCTGAGGTGAATGCGGGGTGGCTGATCACCTGGCCGACATCTTGGGAAATGCACTGGTCTGGGAAACTGCTGGGCTGGCCTAAACCTGGCGCTGTAGTGCAGGCAAGCGAGAGGTGGCGTAGTGCTGGCTGGTGGGGTCTGGCTTCCTTCTTGGCCTCAGTGGCTCATCTGTTCAATGGGAGCGGGGCTTGGTCTCCCAGAGTCTTCCACTCTGAAACTTGATGTTGGGAGGAAAACGTTTGCAGGGAGGTAGAAGGGCCTGAGATGACAGAGGTGGGTGGGACCCTAGGATATGAGGGCTTTTGGTAGTGGGGTGCTCCAGGGCTCTGTAGCCGCCCCTCTTCTGGCAGCTCCAACACCTCCCAGGCGTTTGACTTCTGGTTCCAGCCTAGGCAGTGTGGGTCACATGCTCCGAGGTTGGCTTTCACTGGAACTGCAGACTTCCTGCTGTACCAGCCCCTCTTTTCGTCATCAGCCACCAGGACCTCTTCCTCATATGGGCTAATGTGCAACTCCTCTGGCAGGGATGACCATGTGTGGAGCTGGCTTCTCTTAGCAGCATAATGTCCTGGTTTTAGCATAAGGATATGCAGCTCTTTAAAAGGGGAATCTAGTGGGTCCCATGGTGTGGAGGAAGGGTCTGAACACCGCTGGGTGCTGGTGAGAACAAGAGTGGGCAGGAGCTGGGGGAGCTTCTAGATGGCTTTCTTCCTCAATTGGACAAGAGTCTGGCGAACAGGCAGGCAGAGGCCAAGGTGGGCACGTTTCACTCCTCCTGAAGAAGAGGCCTCCCTTGGGCCACTGTGCGCTCTCTCTGTTCACCAGACCAGTGAGGGGGAAGAGGGCTCGGGGACCAGAGTCAGCCCTGACCTTGTGTTGTGTCTCTACCACATGCTGCTGTGGTACCTTGGGCAAGTGAGTTCACCTCTGAACTGCCCTCGGCTCTGAAGTAGGAATAATGCCAGCCCTGATTACCTCACAGGGCATTGTAAGGAGCAGATGGAGCGTAGCAGGAGTGAGGCAGTTAGAGAGAAAGTTGGTATACTCGGGCTCAGTTCTAATAACTGCCATTATTAAGTGCTACGCTGGGAGAATCCTGCTTTAGCTGCAAAATGGTGTCACCAACCAAACGCTTAGAAGAAACCATTCCCTGAACCACAGCCACAGGAAGGTTGCATAGTCAACCCCATAAAATCCCTTTATTCCCTCCTCTCTGCTCTTGGGTTGTCTCTGAACTTTCTCCTTGCCCCACGCAGGATTTGTCAGAGCAAAACTCGGCCAGGTCTGCCTGCTCCTTTCCTCCAGGTGAGGTGAGTGAGTGCCGAAGCCCAGGCTGGTGCCGGCTCTTCCATGCTGTTTCGAAGCATTCCAGCCCCCAGTTCAGGCCCTAGAAGCCCCTGAGTAAAACGGTTTTGTGCAGAGAAACATCTTCAGTCTGGGCCTGCCGTTTATTTGTACATGTCTCTGTCTCTGTGCACTGTATTTTCTGTCCCGTTTGAGTCACCTGGAGGCTCTGGCACCCTTTCTCCTCTGCCCGGGCTTCTTCCATCCCTATTCTGTTGTAGCAAAGTTACTTCTCCCAGGTCTTTTTCTCTTAATAGGCAAAGACCTCATAGAACCCAGGGCAGAGCTCAGCTCCTGTGGTACCATTTTATAGTCTTGGCGAGCTTGTAGATGGACCCTGTTCACTGCCACCTCTCCCTGCCCTCCCTTTCCCCTGACCCCAGCCCCCTTACTGCGAAAGAAGCGTAAAACTACAAGGGTATCAACCTGGATTTCCAGTTCATCCTCTGCCCCTTCTGCCTGGCCTCCATCTTCCGGGTGGAGCCAGCTTTCCAGAGCTCGGGGCTGCAGCTTGGCTGGTGGCTTCTTGGACTCCTTTCTCTGCTGGAAGGGGGAAATGGTCTCTTTAGGACCCTAAGCCCTCATGTCCTTCCAGAAACAGTGTGGTCAGACCCAGAGTCCTCTGTGCTCTGGGAAAAGGCTGAAGCCCAGAGATTGTGCCCTGGGTCACAGAGCTGGTTGCTAAGTGGCAGGGCTGGAACAAGATAGCTAGTCAGCAAGTGGGGCTTTGTGGGGAGGTCTCACCTGGATTCTCTGGTGTTCAGGGCTCAGGAAGCTGGAGCCTCCCATGGCCAAGTCCAGCCAGAGCACGCACAGGAGCAGGAGGCTGCAGATGGTCTTTGGGGAGGGCATGGCCTCGGCTGGGTTGCAGACAGGTGGGCCTGGGGGAGAGAGGGTCTTCAGCCAGCTACCTCCCCTTTTCATGTGCCTCTGAGCTTGCTCAGGTAGGAGCCCGGCAGATGGGGTGAGGAGCTTTACCATCTGGGGTCCTGACTGCTGTGTAGAGAGGACCCTTCTCCACCTCCCAAGGTAGAAGAGAATGGAAGGATGTGTGTTCTCTTCTCTAAGGCTGTTCAGAGCAGAACGTCTGGCAGCAGGACTTGATAGGGGCTGAAAGGCCCTCCTCCCCAGTGCCTTTCATCCCAGGCTATGAGGAGCTTGCAAGTCTGTATGAGTGAGGAAGTTGAACCAGAAAGGGCCCCAGGGGACGTGGGTGGGGGTTAGAGGCAGCTCCTAAGCCAAGCTTTGTCTCTGAGCAGCCAGCCAGACTCAGATTGTCCAACATCTCCTGTCTTTAGACGGAGCTCGTGAGGCTCAGAGAAGTTAAATGAACGGGCAGCAGTCACGGATGATAAACTCATCCGCAAACACGCACACACAGAGTAGAGAGAGAACCTACCTGCGATTCCTGGTGGAGGTGGTGCCTGGTGGCTGTTGGGTCCTTATATAGGAAGGCTGGTGTTTGTTTTAAACCAGCAACCCCATCTCAGAGGTGGCCTAGCTTCTGTGGGGCTGATGTACATTCCTTGGGAACTAAAAATGTTCGTGTCCTCTGGGTAGAAGTCAACAGTGGAGGTCAGATGCCCTGCGGGATTGCTGGGTTGGTGAGAGGTGAAGCATGTGCTCCAGCTGTCCCTGGAACACAGGGTGGCGGGGTGCCCCAAGTGGGTATGGCCCTGATGGAGGGGAGGGAGGGAGGAGAGGGACTCTGGGGTCTGGGTGCAGCTTTGTTGCTGTGTGACCTTAGCATACTCGCCCTTTCTCCCTGGGTAAAATGAGGCTGTCGTCACTAGGAGAGCTCCGAAACCTCCCCAGTCTGGCTCCCTGTTGTTTCCTCTGTGCTGATGCTGCTCTGGCCTCTGTGAGCCCCGGGAGCCTGTGGGGAGCCAGGCTGGTGATCTTGCACCTTCCTGAGGAGGAAAGTCCCACCTCCCGGGTGAGCAGAATGCTCCTGACCATCCTCTGGAGCAAGCTGGTGTGGGGATAACCTCATCCAGTGGCTATGCTTCAGTCATTTCTGCCAGGTGCTCTGAGATGACTGCTTGGCTTGGTGTTTTTACACATGGCAGCTTGCCTTGCCTTCCCCCAGCAGTTTCAGTCTCTAGTTTAGCCTGTTCTGAGACGGAAACACGTTGGACCTGGAGGTGGAAGATCTGCGCTTACCATGGGCACACCTCCTCCCTCATTGACTGGCCTTAGGCAGACCACGGATGATTCCCCTTACCCAGAGTCTTTGAGGGTGAACTGAGGCAATGGTAGAAAGTGGCTTCTAACCTATAAAACAGCCTGCAGTTGACAATGGTTTCATACCAGGCCCACAGGACTTGCCAGTATAGGTCAAGGCCACTGCCTCATTTCCCTTGGCCCCAGGAATTCCTTCCTTTCTGGAGTGCTTTATCCAGCTGAGTGCCCAGGCAGGAACCCCTAAGGGCCAGTGAGTTGTCTGCAGAGAAGTTCTAGCAGTTCAGGAGAGGAGCTAACCTGAGGCTGGGGCTTGTGATAGTGATGTTAGCAGAGGCTCCAGGAAAGAGGCCTGTGGTGAATTTGGGGAAGTGCTTTGAAGGGAGGGCTTCTCAGCAAATGGAGGGGAAGTGAAGGCGTGGGTAGAGTATGTCAGGGCAGCAAGGAGAAAGCTGGGTGGCTTGGAGGAGGGTGGTGATGAGGTCTTAACAAAAATGTTAGAAGGTGCCTTGGGAGCTGCTAGACCAAGAAGTTTGGGCTTTATTTGCAGGAGGGAAGCCACTGAAGATCCTTGAGCAGAAGAGAGACAGACTGTAGAATGAAAGAGCTGGAAAGACTTTCAAGCCCTGGGAGGCTGAATCCTTTATTTCACTGGAATAAAAACTGAGCGCCAAGAGGGTTGCACTTTGCCCAAAGCCATACAGCTATCAGGGGCAGTGCTGGGGCTCCCACCTGAGTCTCTTGGTCCTAGTAAGTGCTCTTTCTGATATGCCATCTGGCTCCCTAATGAACATGGTGTTCCAGGAAAATCAGTCTGCGCTGAACAGGATAGAATTGGGGCAGGATGTCCAGTGAGGATATCCAGTGAGGCAGTAGAGCAGCTGATTGCCAAATGACCGCCTACTCTGACCTAAAAGATCAACCTCAGGGTGGATGGGAGCTTTCTAGTCTCTTGGGACAGCAGAAGCACAGGCCAGGTTGGACTGAATCCTTAAGTGGGACGTGGTGGACAAAGTACCTCCTATTGGTAAACCTCTCCCCACTGGCCCACTGTGGTGGCTAAAATCCCGTCTTTAGTCCCAGCAACATGTGAGTATGTCACCAGGAGGCCTTCACAGACCTGTCTACCACCTCAGTGTAGACCTCTTTTGGCCCTGGAGCCCAGAGAGGCTGAAGGTGGAGAGGGTGAAGGGGTCTGTAGTCCTCAGAGAAGACTTGAGCAGCTTTTTCAGAGCCACCAACTACCCCAGCAAAAAAAAAAAAAAAAAAAAAAATCCCCAAACAGAAAAACCCTAACTATGGTGACCAGGCACCTCCTGAGACATGAAGCCTCTGTTTACCTGGACCCCAGAGGCTTCTCCAGGCAGAGCTGCCAGTGTTGATCTTAGATAAGACCACCAGCGAGTAAACACCCACTTCGAGCTGTGTTATCTTTGGGGAACTGAAGAGGCAGATGTCCCCTGGGAGTGGAAACTCCACTAGCCACATACCACAGAATCGAGGAAGGAAGAGCTGATGGATGGAAGAACCATGGTGGACAAGGCACCCGGGAGCTACCTCGCCGTCCTCGGTTGTGGAACGGAGGAGAGATGCAGGCAGAGGACACAGCAAATCTGAATCACGAGGAACTTGGAAGCCTGAGTGACCTGGTGGGGACTGGCTGACTAGCCTCATGCTTTCCAAGTGTGAATAATAACCAAGCCCAGTTTGGCAACTTGTTGAGGGTGAGGACGAAGCCACGATCTTTTCGGACCTTGGTGGGGGCTCAGGAAGCAGGTTCCCTCCAGGCGGTAGCTTTCCTCCCCTTTGCGGGTCTCTTGAGGGCCTGCCTTCATGAAGGCACGTGAGTGACTCATCATTTGTGAATTAATTGCTATATGTAAAGAGCATCTGAGGACAAATTATCTTCATATACTTTTCATTATAATTTTATTTGTACTGATAATTAGTTGGTTTAGCAAGCACTTTTTTCATGGATTTGGCTAAACTTCAGTCTGAAAGAGGCTGATTCTGAGGTTCTAGAAAGAGATTTTATTCTTTGAGATAGGGCCATTTGGTGGGATTTCTTTTTGTCCTAGTTGTAGCTTCCATAATTTCTAGATTCACATTTTCCAATAGATACATGCAGGCTGGCCGGGTGCGGTGGCTCAAGCCTGTAATCCCAGCTACTCAGGAGGCTGAGGCAGGAGAATTGCCTGAACCCAGGAGGCGGAGGTTGCGGTGAGCTGAGATCGCGCCATTGCACTCCAGCCTGGGTAACGAGCGAAACTCCGTCTCAAAAAAATAAAATAAAATAAAATAAAATAAAAAAGATATATGCAGGCCTACCTCGGAGGCATTGCAGCTTTGGTTCCAGACTGTAATGAAATGAGTCGCATGAATTTTGTTGCTTTCCCAGTGAATATAAGACTTGTACTTATACCATACTGTAGTCTGTTAAGTGTGTAACAGCATATGTCTAAATATGCATTTTTTTTTTTGAGACAGGATTTTGCTGTGTCACCCATGCTGGAGTGCAGTGGCACTATTATGGCTCACTGCAGCCTCAACCTCCCTGGACTCAGATGATCCTTCCACCTCAGCCTCCCAAGTAGCTGGGACTACAGGTACACGCCATCACACTCAGTTAATTTTTGTATTTTTTATAGCGACAGGGTCTTGCCATGTTGCCCAGGCTAGTCTTGATCTCCTGGCTTAAGTGATCCTCCTGCCTTGGCCTCCCAAAGTGCTGGAATTACCGATGTGTAGTCTTTGAAATCCGGTGTGTATTCTTATAGTGCATTTCACTTTGGACTTGCCATGTTTCAAATGCTCGGCGGCCACATGTGGCTGATTCTAGATAGGTGGCTGTCACTCTGAAATCCTCCCTAACCTCAGCCATGCTCTCTCATCCCTCCTCTTCGCCACTGGGGCTTCCCTAGCCTCCAGCCATCTTGGGGCCACAGCTCTAACACTTTGCCTCTCTTGTGTCTTCAGTGTGTTCCCTTCCAGTGGCTTCTGCTTTCTGTCTTAAAATACACCCAGGTCCCCAATCCTGAAAAAGCTTCTTTTGCACCGATCTCACCCTCCCCTCATGTTACGTCTCCATTTCCTTTCCCTTTCCTTGTGTCCCCTTCTTTACTCTGTCCCGGCCCCTCAAAACTCGAACTTGCCTCTCATCGCCACCGCTGTACTGAAGCTGTTCTCTCAGCATTGCTGATTGTCCAGCCTTTTAGTGTATGGACTGCTAAGAGCCATAGGACCTCAGGGTGGACTGTGGCCTGGAGGGCCATCTAATCTCAACTTCCAGAAGACCTGTGTTGGGTTGTGCTGGATTAATGAGGAAAGCTTCGTAAGTTTTATGCACATTTGTAAGACTCCATCCTTGGATTCTGATCCAGTAGCTCTGGTGTGGGGGGCCCATCATCTGTTTCAGGTATCCCAGGTAGTTTTGATTATAAATTACCAAGTATCCCAGGTAAATTTTGATTATAATGCCTGCTTCCAGCAGAAAATTTAAACATGGAAGATGCAGTCTTTCTCTCTGAATATCCTAATTGTTTCTACTAATGTGAATACCTTATATAACCACAGTACATTTATCGAAATCAAAACACCAGTGTTGGCACATTATTGTTAATCTCCAGACTATTTGTAAGTCACTAGTTTTTCCACTGTCCCATCTGTTCTTCCTTTTTTCTCTCGTCATGACCACTTTCCGAGGGTTTTTAATGGTATCATTTTGTCTTCACCATCAGCATTAGCTGTACTATACTGTTTTATTTTGTTTGAGATGAAGTTTTACTCTGTTGCCCAGGCTGGAGGGCAGTGGCATGATCTCAGCTCATTGCAACCTCTACCTCCCGGGTTCAAGCAGTTCTCTTGCCTCAGCCTCCCGAGTAGCTGGGACTATAGGCATGAGCCACCACACCCAGCTAATTTTTATATTTTTAGTACAGATGGGGGTTTCACCATGTTGGCCAGGCTGGTCTTGAACTCCTGACCTCAGGTGATCCACCCACCCTGGCCTCCCAAAGTGCTGGGATTACAGGTATGAGCCACTGTGCCCAGGCTGCCTTGGTCTTCCTGAACTCTGACTTCTACCTCTTCGACTCCCAGAGACTAGACACTGGAGTCTCTCTTTACCTTTTGGCCCAGAAACTGCTTCTGGGTAGTAATCTGGGGCATTTGTGGTACTTACCTAACTTGTTTCCCTTTTCCCAAACACTACCTGTTGTCCTATGGCTGAAAGCAGTTGTTTCATGTATTTTTCATGATTTCCTAGTTGTTTATAGTGTGAGAGAAATTCTTACTAATTATTAGTTTTGAAGAGACAGAGTCTTGCTATATAGCCCAGGCTGATCTCAAACTCCTGGGCTCTGGAGATCCTCCTTCCTCAACCTCCCAAGGTGCTGGTTACTGCACCCGGGTAGGGAATTGATATTTTTTGTGTGTGACAGAGTCTCACTCTGTTGCCCAGGCTGGATTGCAGTGATGCAATCATGGCTTACTGCAGCCTCCACCTCCTGGGATCAAGTGATTCTTGCTACTCAGCCTCCTGAGTAGCTGGAACTACAGATACGCACCGCTGCACCTGGCTAATTTTTATATTTTTAGTAGAGATGGGGTTTTGCCGTGTTGGCCAGGCTAGTCTTGAATTCCTGGGCTCAAACCATCCATCCTTTTTGGCCTTTTGAAATGCTGGGATTACAGTTGTGAGCCATCATGCCCGGCCTGGTAATTCTTTTTTTTTTTTTTTTATTGCATTTTAGGTTTTGGGGTACATGTGAGGAACATGCAAGATTGTTGCATAGGTACACACATGGCAGTGTGGTTTGCTGCCTTCCTTCCCCTCACCTGTATCTGTCATTTCTCCCCATGCTCTCTCTTCCCACCTCCCCACCCCCTCACAGGGAGGGGAGCACTACGCACTGGTAATTCTTATAACTATTAATCATTTATATGCAGAATTGGAAAGTCTCCCCTTAGTGTTTCTGAGCTCACTTGTAGATGGAAGCCTGTGAATCTTCTAGTTTTGAGAGTTGCTCTCACATTGGCTTCCTGAGTTTTCTACTCAGAATGGATGAGTATTTGATGGCAATTTTTGGGGTCTCTGGCGTATAGCACCATAAAAACTCCCATTTTCTTTGCCCTGCTGCTCTCACAGAGGTACTGTGTCTCTGAAGATTTTGGTGAAGACGTTGGTCCTACTCCATGTTCTAGGGTCTGTGGGTTTCTTTTGCTGTCCTAGTTGGTTTGTTTTTGCAAAAGGATTAAGAACCACATGGCTGCTAGCGTCTCTGGCTCTAACCAGAACTCTATGCCTTTTATGTTTCCCTTTTATTTCATTTGGGCTTGGCAACCACACTGTGAGTTTCACAGATAGTATTTCTATTTGACTAGCCTATTTTGTGGTAACAAATTTTGGGGTCTCCTCTTACCCCAGGAACAGGTTAATGTGTTGGCACTCTAAGCGGAAACAACTGTTATGGTGGCAACTTTATTTAACCCTGAATTATCTTAACTGATCCTTGGTGGTATATTACAAATAGAGCACATGGCCAGGAACCCATTAACCTACCACCAACCCAGAGTGACTCGGGACTAGTTCCTTCTCAGTTATTTACTTGGCGACAGCAGCTGGCACTATAGGAAGCCCAAGCCCAGGCTCGAGGAGTGCAGGACATATCAGGAGGCAGACAGGGATGTGGCTAACAATTCAGTGTGGAACTCTACACCGAGAAGTGCATGTGAATGGAAGGAAGGAGCTGTTTTTATGTTGGTCTCAGAAGGCTTGGGTTTTGTGGAGTGACTTGGGAAGATGACTGGGCTGGGCCATGGCCTCTCTGTCCTCACCTTTAACCAAAGCAGTTTCACTTTTTTCCATGTTACACAGTATGATCAAAGATTTATTTTTTTTAAAAAAGGTTTTGCTGTTGAAAAAGGAGGGAAGGACAAATAGGCAGACCTGGGGGTCCTGAGGTGAGAGGCCTGACCTTTCATCTAGGTCTGTTTTTACAAGTGTTTGGTATGAGAAGCATCCTTGGATTATAGCTGAAGAGCCCCCCAACTCACACCCTGATGCTACAGTGGGGAGTAACTCCTGAGATGGGCCACGCCCAGGCCCTGGCTTTACTGCTTGGCAGTGCACGGTCCTGGACGGGGCTTCTGCCTTCCGAGAGCTTCCTCATCAGTGAACTTGGGGACACCCTTGCAGGGTTCTTGTGTTGAATTAGTGAATGTGTGAAAGATCCAGTGTAGTGTCTGGCTCACAGCAGGCTCAGTGAGTGATGGCTATAGTGACTGTCAGGGTCACAGGGCCTCTGCTGAGAGGTGGTACCTGGTTTAGGGTTAGTTAGGTCTCCCCTCATGGGGGCCTCCTTTCCCTGACAGGGTCAGTAAACTGAATGAATTGTGCCCACTTTCCAGGCTCAGCCTCTTACCTGTTGGTGTTCGGTACATATCACCTTGCATCTGCATGGCATTTTGTCGGTCACCAGATGTGCTAGCTCATTTGAGTCTTTTAGCCATTCTGTAGAGCAGACTGTATTAGTCCCATTGCACAGAAGAGGTTATGTAGGGAGAGGGTAAGCAGCAGATCCAGGGCTACAATCCTTGTCACCAAAGGCTGAGGAGTCCAGTGCTCTGTATGGTGCTTTCAGTATAAACTGAATCAAAGAGATGCTCACACAGTGACAAGGCACCTTTGTGGGGTGGAGCCAGGCCATCACAGCCATGGCCTTTGTGAACGTTGACCTATGAGTCAAGCTGAGCGGGTGGGGTGAGGGGTGCTTAGGAGAACGCAGCAGGAATTAGAAGCAATATGACTTTACTTAGTTACTTTGGAAACAAAACCCCCCAAATAATGCCTGAACCCAAACGTACATAAAAATGGCCCAAAATAGTTTAAAATAGATTTGAACATCATTTGTAGTTTCTTCATGAGTGCTTTCAGCTGGATGGTAGATTACAAAGCATCTCTGAATCTCTGATCATGTTAAGGCAGATGATCAATCTGTGGCTGCATCTGTAACTCCTGGGAAAATGATCCTGTTGGAGTTGGGGGCTTTTCCCAATTGTTTGGTCAGTTGGCCCAGGAAGGGGCAGTCCTGGAGCTGGCGGGTGGGAAGCCAGGCCCTACCTGTCTTGTCACTGCTCGTTCTGCTGGCCCTCTGTGACTGACGCTGACATGGAGCCCTGGCCCTTGTTGACATCACTGATGCACACCCACTGCCCATCAACCGACTCCTTCCACAGGGTCACCTGCAAGTCAGGGCACAAGCAGACTGTCACGGGTCTGTGCCCCTCCCTCTGCTGTCCCCTTTGCACTGGGTCCCCTAAATGAGAGCCTCATCCCCATCAAGAACCACTGCCCAGAGGCTTGTGGGTGAACAGAGCACGTCCCTCCTCTACTGAAATCCCACCAAAATGAGAAGGAAGAAAAACTCACAGAAAGAAAGGAGTAACAATAGCAGCAGCTGTGGATGATGTCAACACAGGATGCTATTTTCACTAAACTGCCAGAGCTACAGTGAGACAATATGGGGTGGCAGGGAGGAGGGTTTGCAAAGTGTGGTCCCCAGATTGGTCACCTTGCCTACAACTGCAGATTCTTGGGTCCTAGAACAACTGATTAAGCAGCTCTGGGGGTGGGGCTGGCAATCTATTTTAACAGGTTTAACAACACTGCAGTTTGAAAACCAGTGGTAGAGGAAGGTGATAGATCAGTGTGTTTTCTACACTGAAGTAAACTATATAAGAAATAGCTAAGAACTGAAAAGGTTTGCCCCTGGAGAGTGAAAGGAGGCTGCATTAAAAAAAAAAAAATCTATCTAGGCCAGGTGTGGTAGCTCACGCCTGTACTGGGAGGGTGAGATGGGTGGATCACCTGAGGTCAGGAGTTCGAGACTAGCATGGCCGACATGGCGAAACCCCCATCACTATTAAAAATACAAAAAAAAAAAAAAAAAAAAAAAAAATAGCCAGGTGTGGTGGTGGGCACCTGAAATCCCAGCTACTGGGGAGGCCGAGGCAGGAAAACTGCTTGAACCCAGTAGGCAGAGGTTGCAGTGAGCCGGGATTGCACCACTGCCCTTCAGCCTGACAAAGCGAAACTCTGTCTCAAAAACCAGAATCAAAAATCTAAAGCTATGTACATATATTAGTAGTATGATTAAAAATGAAAATGATTTTGTCCAGTTGTAGTGGCTCATGCCTATAAACCCAGCCCTTTTGGAGGCCGAGGCAGGTGGATCACCTGAAGGTCAGGAGTTCGAGACCAGCCTGGCCAACATGGTGAAACCTCATCTCTACTAAAAAAAAAAAAATATATATATATATATATATATATATATATGACACACACATACATGTGTATACACATACACCCCCACACACATATATATAAAAGATTAACCAGGTGTGGTGGTGGGCACCTGTAATCCTAGGTACCCAGGAGGCAAAGGTTGCAGTGAGCCAAGATCATGGCATTGCACTCCAGCCTGGACAAGAGCAAAATTGTCTCCCCAAAAATTTTTAATAACTCCTGCTTTAGGGACAAACTTTATTCACTAAACACACTCCAGAATACTGAGACTGAAAACATACTAAGTCCTTTAGCTGAGGGTGCTATGGAGACAGCAAAAGGAAATGAGCTTATAAAGAAGGAAAAAGCAAAAAGCCTAAATGCATAGTGATGGGGACCCCAAACATTGCAAGGTACAGCCTGGCACTTGGTTACAGCCTTTAAAAATCACTGTGGGCCTGCTCCAGGCAATCTGGGACCCTTGGTCTGTCTTGAGTGCCATCAAACCTGGGTTCTAGTCCTGACTCTGATACTCCCTAGAAATATGGCTTTGAGAGGAGGGCTGCTAGATCTTTCTGGGACTACTGTAGATCAAAGGGACCTTCGGCCAGAAAAGCTGCCTGCAGAGGCTCTCAGAAAGCTGCACTATTCACAATAGCTAAGAGGTGGCAGCAGCCCAGGCACCTATTGGAGGAATGAGTGTAGAAACAGGGTGTGGTTGTCCATACAATGCAACACTATCTAGCTTTACAAAGGAAGGAATTCTGACATACGCTGCATACAGCATGGATGAACCTTAAGGGTATACTGCTAAGTGACAACCCAGTTGCAAAAAGACAAATATTGTGATTCCACTTAGGAGAAGGGTGGCTGCCAGGGCTGGGGAAGGGAGTTATTTAATGGGTACAGTTTCAATTTTGCAGCTGAAAAAGAGTTCTAAGACCAGCTGCTTCTCTGCCTTGCCTGTGGTGTTGGTTATGCTGAGCATGCAAATGAAAGGTAAGACATGGAGCCAAAGTGGCCACTGGGAAACAGTAAAAGACCAACGCAGGCAAGGGAGAGAAGCAGCAAGGGCTGGCAGGATCCGCACCGACTTGCGCTTCAGATGCAGAGCAGATGTGCTTAACAATGGGGCACGGCCACTCCCCGTGGGACTGACTCGATGTTAGAGACCCTCTGTCTTACAGGGGAATTCAGCTGGGCAGATGGCTGTGATTTGTTACTGCTTCCTTTCTGCGGGTAGCTTTTTTTCCTTCTAATTGTAAAACACATAAAACTTTTTTTTTTCCACGAGGTCCCTGCTGTTCATGAACTGTGTATCTTGGCCATTTTTAACTGCACAGTCCAGTTGTGTGAAGTACATTTGTATCCCTGTGCAGCTGGTCTCCAGAACTCTTTTCAGCTGCAAAATTTAAACTGTTTCAATGCACCCACTGTGTACCTATCTATCTCTTACCAGCATAACAAGTATTCACAAACTACAGATTTAAAAAAAATAGCCTTTTAAGTGTTATGGACAATAAAATTCCTTAATCTTGCTTTTGTTTATGGGTTCTTTTTCTTATACACTTACACAACTAACTGAACATCACCATGAGGTGACCAAATGGTTAGGGTGAGGGACCTGACTGCCTGCCGCCTCAGAGTTCTGGGACCCCTATGCAAGTCAGATTGCTAGCTTCTTTCCCCATCTGTGAAAAGGGGAAATATTAATACTACTTCATGGGCTGTGACAATGATGTAACTAAGAGGCACACTCAAAATGCAGTCCTGGCTAAGGCTCCTTCCCTGCCTGCAGTCAGATGGGCATGTCGAGTGTGCTCTCTGGGGGGAGGGGCCCCTGTCCACCCTGCCGTGGGGAATGGGTGTGTACCTTATTGTCTCCACCGGAGACGGCCAGGATGTTGGCTGTGATGGACCAGCTCACATGCCACACGACATCATTGAACTTGTGCAGCAATTTGGGGGACCACGTATTGCCTGAGGCATCATCACAGGTCCAAATGAACACACGACCATCCTAGGAAGAGACAGGCTAGAGTCAGGAGATGGGGGAAAGACTCCTGTGTTTGTGATGTCCTCCAATCTAGAGCCATGCAGCACCTCTCTGCAGGAACAGGGTGGGGGATTCAAAGGGGAGCCAAGGACCTCTGGGGCATCCCAGAGAAACGGAATCTGGGAGACTCTTGACCAGTATGAAGAGACAAGGGTCTCCCAGATTCCTTTTCTCATCCGGGTTTCAGAGGTGCACCGTCTGCACTGCTCACATTTTCTCTGGGGTTTTTCCCTCATGCCTCCCAAGTCACTTCACTGGCTGTCTAGACTTCTCAACTGAATGGGCAGAGCTCTCCAAAAACCAAACTCTGAGAATAAGAAGGTACAAGTAAAACACAAAAGTCACATCTAGAACCAAACCAAACAGGTTCCTATGATGTGAAAAGCCTGGCTGGCTCCCTCTAGGGTAGTGGCGTATAACTGAAGGCTCGCCCTTGGCTTTCCTTGCTGTCTGGGGAGGGTGGCTCGGTAGCTGAGCCTAGAATTCCCATCCCACTCCATCATTGCTTGGGAACACGCGGAACTGCACCTGGGCACCTCCGCTCCCTAGTCTCACAAGAGTCAGGAGGGAAAATTCATCCCAAATCCCCTCCTTCTTGGTGCTGGTTCTGTTGTAGTCATCTCATCTCGGTGGAGGCAGGCCACTTGTGACTTCTGACCAAGACTTCCTCACACAATGACCTGACTCCCTGTGCTCTGGGCCAAAGGTGCCTGTTGCTCTCCCTTTACCTTCCCTGAGGACTTTCTGCTAAGACTTTAGTCTGATGGACTAGAGACTAAATGACAAGAGATGCTCTCATGACCCTGGGCTGACCTGGGAGCAGCTGGCGATGGTGCTGGTGGGCAGGCCGATGGAGGGAGCCCAGGCCACGTCTCGAACCCAGTCACTGTGCGCTTCCAGCTTTTGCTCCTCCTTCCACTGGCCGTCCTCCTCCTCCCTAACGTGGGAACAGAGGGAGAATCAATCAGCAGGGAGCCACCCTGGGCCTTTCCCACACTTCAACTCCTCCCCGACCGGACAGGCTCTGCCTGGTGAAGAACTGATTCCATCTTTCTTATTTCATTCATGGAGTTCATGGCATTTTATTCCATTCACTCCAGCTGTAAAAAAAAACAAAACAAAACACCAAAACTCCAGGAAACACTTGGCTTCCACAGCCAGAGTCAGCTCCAACAGTTGGGAATTGGGTGAACAGGTGTTTTTTGTTTTTTTTTTTTTGAGATGGAGTTTTGCTCTTGCTGCCCAGGCTGGAGTGTAATGGTGTGATCTTGGCTCACCGCACCTCCTGGGTTCAAGGAATTCTCCTCTCTCAGCCTCCTGGTAGTTGGGATTACAGGTGTCTACCACTACGCCTGGCTAATTTTTGGTATTTTTAATAGAGATGAGGTTTCACCATGTTGGGCAGGCTGGTCTTGAACTCCTGACCTGAAGTGATCCACCTGCCTTGGCCTCCCAAAGTGCTAGGATTACAGGTGTTAGCCACTACACCTGGCTGTGTGTTTTTGTTAAAGGATGTCCTCTGACAGATTGAAAACAGTATTTTACTGGCAGGAGAGAGAAGGAAAGGTGAATTGTTTACGGTGAGTGTGGCTGAGTCATGGTGAGTAGGGTAAAGGTTAGAAGTGTCCCCTGCAAAGAGAAGGCCGCACAACGCTACTTACTTCCACAGCTTGATGAGGTTGTCACAGCCACCTGATGCAAACTTCTTGATGTAATTGGGTTTCTGCCCCGATGGCTGGTCTACAAGGCTTCCAGGTACAACAGCAGGGGCCCAACTGACGGCATTGCAGCCAATCTGTAAAGATGGGACACATGTGACTGTGCCTTGGAAGAGAACACTGCTTCTGCAGACCCAAGCCTGCTGTCCCTCTCCCCTCCAGTTCTCAGGACCCGACTGTGTGTGAAGGCTGGCATGAAGCACTCATCATGTGGTCCACTGCTCAGAATTCTCCCTCAAAGATCCCAACAGTATGGGCATTTTTCTGCAATATGCACTAGAAGTAGAAATTAGGAACTCCCACAAATTTAAGAAACAGGACATTTTTTAAACACATGAAAGAATGGTACATTGGGGCTTTTTTTTTTGTAGAAAAATCTTTCATTATAAAGTAATAGATCAAGAAACAAAAATCTGCCACAAGACTGAAAAGCCCTGTCATTACGTCCTTTCCTAATCACAGCCCCTCACCCACTGTAAGTAACCGCTGCCCTGACTTCTAATCCATTTCCCCCATTTTATCACCCAATGTGCATCCCTCGACATGACAGATCTTGTGAGACTTACTATCAAGAGAACAACACAGGAAAGACCTGTCCCCATGACTTAACCATATCCCATCAGGTCCTCCCTACAACACGTGGGCATTCAAGGTGAGATCTAGGTGGGGACACAGCCAAACCACATCCTGGGGTTTTGCCATGTTGGCCAGGCTGGTCTCAAACTCCTGACCTCAGGTGATCCACCTGCCTCGGCCTCCCAAAGTGCTCAGATTACAGGTGTGGGCCATTGTGTCTGGCCTTTTAACTCTCATTTCGTCTTAGTTCTCTACAAGTACATATTTATGCTGAAGTCTTTGTAGTCATTTTTGTTGTGTGACACATATCCTCTAGTAGCTTCCTCAGGAAGGGCTCCTGGAAACAACAGTCCCTGAATTCTTGCATATTGATAATAGTTTATATCCTTTATATGCGAAAGCTAATTTTAAAAACAGCTTTGATATGGTATAATTGACATACACTGCATGATTTGGTGAATTTTGACAAAAATATACCCTGTAGGATCATCACATCACCTCAATTAAGATAAGAAACATGCCCCTCATTACCAAAAGTTTCCTTGGGTTCCTCCTTGTTAATCCATTACTCCATCCTACAGCCCCCAATCTTGCTGATCATGGGCCTGCTCAGGAGAGTGTGCATTTCCTAGATTTTACAGCAGTAGAATCATAGTATATCCTTTTTTTTTTCTCAGCACAATTATTATTTTTTTGAGACGGAGTCTTGCTTCGTCACTCAGGCTGGAGTGCAGTGGCCTGACAGTGGCTCAATGCAACCTCTGCCTCCTGGGTTCAAGTGAGTCTCCTGCCTCAGCCTCCTCTGAGTGGCTAGAATCACAGACATGCACCACCATGCCTAGCTAATTTTTTTTGTATTTTTAGTAGAGACAGGGTTTCATCATGTTGGCTAGGCTGGTCTTGAACTCCTGACCTCAGATGATCCACCGGCCTCAGCCTCCCAAAGTGCTGGGATTATAGGCATTGAGCCACCATGCCCAGCCAGCGTAATTATTCTGAAATTTATTCATCTTCTTATTAAGTCATTTCTTTTTATTGTTGCAGTATTTCCAGAGTATGGATACATCACAACTTATCATTTACCTGTTGATGGACATGTGGACTATTTCCAGTTTTTGGCTATTAAAGCTGCTATGAACTTTTGTGTATAAGTCTTTGTGAACTTGAAAGTTAGTTTTCCTGGTTGTAAATCCTTGGCTCACACTTTCTTTCCTTGAATATTTTAAACATGTTATTCTTCCTCCTTCTGCACCAATCCTTACTATTGAAAAGTCTGACGGTAATCTAATTGTCTCTCCCCTATAAGTCACAAGGTTCCTTTTCTCTAGAACCCCCAAAATCTTCTTTAAAGTCTAATAATTTTACTAGAACTACATCTTTTTGTTGGTGATGCTGGATTTTTTTTTTTTTTTTTTTTAAAGAGACAGGGTCTCACTGTGTTGGCCAGGCCCTGGCCTCAAACAATCCTCCGACGTCAGCCTCCAAAAGGGCTAGAATTACAGGCTGAGCCACCACACCTGGCCTTGATATTTTTAAGTGTAGGGTATGATTTCTTAATCTCCAGTTTCAAATCTTTGTTTCTTAATTTTAAGAAAGTTTTCTGGATTACTTTTTGGTATTTGTTCTGTTTTCCTTTCTAGGGACTCCTAGTATTCATATGTTTGACCTTTCTGCCTGTCTTTACTTTTCCTCAAAACCTTTTTACCTCTTCATTTTTCACTCTTGAAACGTTTCCTTTTTCACACTGTCTGTCCTTTCCAGTATGATCTGCTGCAATTATTGACACTTGCATTTTAACTTAGTTTTTACTTTTGAAATGATTTTTGATTTTTTCCTGGGTTCTTTCACCTGATTTCTCATTTTTAAAATGTTGATTTACGCCATTTTCTCATGTTTTGCATTTTTAGAGTGTCACCTGGCTTGATTGGAAATAGTGGGGTACAGCTTGATGTGCTCTCATTATCCACAGGGAAGTTATTTTGCATATTCTTATTTCTTAAAACTTTATCTGCAATTTCACTTCAACCACTTTTCTGTTGTTTTTAGTTGAGACGAGTTTTCCTGGTAAAAAGGCTCAGGAAAGTCTAAGCTCAGAACTCTCCCTCATTTCTGTGTAGTGTTAAAAGGCGTGGGAGCTGCCTTTCAGGAGTTCTTGGCTCTGTTCCCCTTCCCCATGTTGGTCTACATCTCATCCTTCCTTTCCTGTGTCACTATCCAGCTCAACTGTGATTTCATTTCCAGCAGTTTCTCCTTCTGAGGTGCCCTATCCCAGAAGCTTGCTCTGGAGGATCATAAAGGTCAGATTTCTCCCCGCCCCTTCAGCCTTTCTTATTGTGGGCTGCTTGCACGCACTCAGTGTTACAGAGTGCAAAACCCCTCCCAGTCATTTCTCCAAAGATACACAGATGGCCAATAAGGCCCCCAAAAGATGCTCAACCATCATCTTTGATTAGCAAAATGCAAATCAAAATCACAATAAGGGCCGGACGCGGTGGCTCACGCCTATAATCCCACCACTTTGGGAGGCCGAGGTGGGCGGATCACTTGAGGCCAGGAGTTTGAGACCAACCTGGGTAACATGGTAAAACCCTGTCTCTACTAAAAATACAAAAATTAGCCGGGTGTCATGGTGTGTGCCTGTAATTCCAGCTGCTCAAGAGGCTGAAGCATGAGAAAGGCTTAAACCTGGAAGGCGGAGGTTGCAGTAAGCTGACATGGCACCACTGCACTCCAGCCTGGGAGACAGAGCAAACACCCCGTCTCAAAAAACAAAACGAAACCAAACCCCAAAAATTTACAATAAGATACTACCACCTCACATTCACCAGGATAGCTGTAATCAAAATGATGAGGATGTGAAGAAATTAAAACCCTCATACACTGCTGATTGGAATGTAAAGGGTACAGTTACTTTGCAAACAATTTAGCAGTTCCTCAAAAAGTTATACATAGAATTACCACATGATTTAGCAATTTCACACCTAGGTATAGACCCAAGAGAATTAAAACATGTTCATGCAAAAACTTATCTGCAAATGTTCATAGCAGCATTATTCATAAAGCTGAGAACATCCATCATCTTGATGGATGGATAAACAAAATGTCTACATTCACAATGGAGTATTATCCAGCCATAAAAACAAATGGAATGCTGATACACGCTATGATACGGATGAAACTTGAACTCATGCTAAGTAGGATAAGCCAGTCACAAAAGACCACAGATAGTCTGATTCTATGTGCAACTGATCCTCAATGTCACTTCAATATAATGTTGACAAGAAAAAAACACAATTCCCAGTGGGGGCCTCTGCCTGTGTGGAGTCTGCGTGTTCTCTCTGTGTCTGTGGAGGCTCTCTCCTGGTACTCTGGTTTCCTTTCACACCCTAAAGATGTGCATGTTTGCTTCACTGGTAACATCTGGGTTGTCCCAGTGTGAGTGTGGGAGTGTATGAATGCTCCCCCGGTGGAATGGTATCCTGTCCAGGGCTGGCTTATGCCTCATATCCTAAGCTGCCAGGACAGGCTCCAGCCACCTGTGACCCTAAACTAGAATGAGTAGATTAGAAAAAGAATAGGCCGGGCGTGGTGGCTCACGCCTGTAATCCAAGCACTTTGGAGGCCAAGGCGGGCAGATCACCTGAGGTCGGGAGTTCAAGACCAGCCTGACCAACATGGTGAAACCCTGTCTTTATTTAAAAAAAAAAAAAGAAAAAGAAAAAATAAGGCCGGGTGTGGTGGCTCACGCCTGTAATCCCAGCATTTTGGGAGGCCAAGGTGGGCAGATCATGAGGTCAAGAGATGGAGACCATCCTGGCCAACATAGTGAAATCTCATCTCTACTAAAAATACAAAAATTAGCTGGGTGTGGTTGTGTGCACCTGTAGTCCCAGCTACTCGGGAGGCTGAGGCAGGAGAATTGCTTGAACCTGGGAGGCAGGGGTTGCAGTGAGCCAAGATCGTGCCATTGCTACTCCAGCCTGGGTGACAGAGTGAGACTTCGTCTCAAAAAACAAAAACAAACAAACAAAAAATACAAATTATTGTAGAATGAAAACTCATAAAATATCCAATAATCATCCAGATGGATGACAGCAAATGATGTGGTATTAAAGTGCTCATGTGAGTCCCCTACACTGGTTATTGTTGGGAACATCACCACTGTGTGGTAGGTAGGAGGTAGGACACTGATGTTCCCTTTGCAAACATTCCTTGATTGAATCCACCACCATCACAACTGCTGTCACTCATTGAATCACCAAAAGTTGGGTAAAGAATGACCTCGTTTATAGTCATCTTTCTTAAATGTATGCATGGCTCACATACTTTTTTAATAACCCTACTCCATTCTACAGGGTCCCAATGACTACTGCAGGGCATGTCACTGGAGGCAGCCATAGCTAAGGTGGCAGGTGAGCAGGCTGCTGCTGCACCTTCCTGGTGCCCAGCCCTCCCATGCTTGGGAGCACATGACAAGCAGCCAGTGCCAAGCCCTGCCTGGGCTGAATGAGGCCGATGGTCTGGCTTCAGAGCAAGAGGCTCAAAGCTGCTCTACGGCAATCATGTCTGGTCAGCTGACCCCTCCCTGGCCCAGTGCACAGTGGCACCCCCTGCCCCTACCGCCACCCTCTAGGGAGTCAGCACCAGACATAGGGCAAGCACGAAAGGCAGGGGCTGGACTCACGGTGTGAGCGTTGTTGATCTTCTTCACTTCCCATTGTCCTTCCCCGGTGTAAGTCAGCAGAGAGATGGCCCCATCTGAGCTCCCACAGGCCAGGATCAGGCCGTAGTCATGGGGGGCCCAGCACACTGAGTTCACTGCAGGAAGAGGGAGAGCGCAATGAGCAAAACAGGTTGACTGCAGCCCTAGGTCCTGCCTTCCACAGATTTACTAAATTTCTAAAACAACTGTAGGGGTCACCAGGGAGAAGCTGTGATTTGGTCAACTGAGGACACTGAAAAAAAACCCTATCGCCTACTAATATGATTTCATCAACTACAGCTATCTAACAAAACAGTGGGTAGGACAACAATCTAAGAATGAAGGCGAGTCCTTAAAATGAATAAACCTGAAGAGAAACTCGGGTTTCTGAGTTTTACTCAGAAAAACTTTTCTTTTACTGTCTTTACTGTTCTTACTTTGTCTTTACTTTTCTTACTTGCTTTGGACTGGCTGTAGGTCTTAGGGCTTTACTCAGCTGCAGACAGACTAGCAGAAAAGCCAACCAAAGCTCAAGGGACAGACAAGAGGCACCACAAGGGACAGGGAGCCAGGGCTGCAGCCAGGACAGTCCTTTCTTAGCCAGTGGTCCCTCGCCTGCTCTGCTGCTGTGCTCAGCGTACCTGAGGAGTCGTGTCCCGCGTGCTCGTGGCTCTTCTCCCAGGTGCCATTTTCCTCTCTCCAGATAATGACTTTCCGGTCATAGGAGCATGATGCCAGGATGTTGCCGTACATGGGGTGAGCCCAGGCCACTTGCCACACAGGACCCTCATGACTGCAAAGGGAGAGGGTGAGGCTGCTCACATGGCCATAGGAACCTACAGTGCTTCTGTAGGCACTACTTTGGACAGAACTAAATGGCTCCCTGAGATATCTCAGGGCAGAATTGCTTAAGAACTTTAAAGGGAGAGCTATACAATGGCATTTCCAAAGGGATGCTCAGTGGACAGTGAGGAACCCGAGGTCCTAAGAGGTTAAGGAACCTAAGGTCACAAAGCCTTTGAGAGATAGTCAAGCCTCTGGGTCAGCCTTCCTTCCCGGCCAGGCAGGAGCCTCACTTGCCCAGATGGCAGCCAGCACTGTCTACAGCATAGTCATTAACTGGTCCAGGGTTTCCAGCCACAGGTGCTCAGGAAGTATTTGTAGACTGAATTGCTATTCATCCTTCCTGATGGTCAGGTTCTCGAGGAAGCATTATTGGTTTCATTTTGATATTTTCCACTATTTTAATTTGTTCAGAAAGCACATCTTTCCTTTCTCTTCTGATCTTTACCCATTCTCCTGATAATAGGTACTATCTGAGCACATGCTTTGTGCCAGGCTTTGTACAGGGACCATTTCTCTGGCCTGGGGAAGGGTATGCACCTTAGCACTCAAGAGGTAGAGTAGCACTGGTAGAGTTAGTAGTTAGGAGAGCAGACCCACTGTCCCATTCACTAGCGCTTGACTTTAGGCAAGGACATCTTTGTCTCTCTACCTGAAAATGGAGATATTAATAAGAATTCTTTCATAAGGTGATCATGAGGGTTAAATATTTGTGATGACTTAGGTTTGGAGTTTGGAATAATGCTTGGTAGAAGGAAAGGAAAAAGCCGCTCAATACCCATTAGCTATTAGTGCTGCTGCTGGCTTACTCCTTCACCCTAGGGCTGCACACAATCAAGTCTCCTCCCTCTGGCTGGGACAACAGGACTTTCCCAGTCCCTACAAAGGTGCTGCTAATGAAGCTGTGAGTAGACCCAAACTTCCAACAACTAGCACAGTTTTAACTTAGACAAAAAAGAATGGGCTGGGATTTTTTTTTTTTTTAATCCCTCCAATATTTCACATCCTTTGAATGTACGAAAAACAGCAGAAAGGACAGAGTCACAGCAAACGTAACTGGCTTGGCCAAAAGCTGCACAGCAGCAGCTCTCTGCCTGCCCGGGGGCTCCTGCATAGAGAAGCCTGATTTGGCTCCTCAGCCACCTGATCTTTTGACACTCAGAGGGGAGCTTCTAAGCCCATTTCCCTAAATGGACACCGACTTAGTTTACACTTTTTAGTTCAATTAACAAACACATATTAAGCACGTACCTGACAAGGCTCTTAATCCTTCCTGTGCATTCTGCGGAAGGTTATGGACCCTCTCTCAGAATAATGCACAAAACACGTAGAACTAGGCTCATAAAGAAAACTCAATTATAAATTATACAGTAATCAACTTTTTTTGAGAATGGTTTCGCTGTCACCAAGGCTGGAGTGCAGTGGCACCACTATGGCTCACTGCAGCCTCAAACTCCTGGGGTCAGGCCATCCTTCCACCTCACCCTCCCAAAATGTTAGGATTACAGGCGTGAGCCACCTCGCCCGGCCTGTTATCAAAGTATTATAAAGCAATGAGACAGTGATGTACGTACATCTTTGTTCACACTTCAAGCAACAAACTCTAGCAGCAGCTCTAGTAACCAGTGTAATTTCAAAGTTGTGATGAGTGTAAGTGATATTTTGAGGTAGCTAAGTAACTGTAATATGTGATGACAGTATCTGTGACTTCTACTGGTGACAAGGTGACAGGCACTACAAATACTACTGCAGTTTCTGGCCTACATCCATAATAGAAAGAAATGCTAAATGTCACAGTCACTGAAAATAAAGATGTAATTTTTTCCTTGTCCCAATTATCAAGCCCTGAATTCTACTTGACAGAACCCATAGAGATCCATGGCACCCAGGCAAACCCACAAACAGGTGAAAGGCAGTGAGCTGAGGGAAAGCAGTAGAGATGTGGCCGTAAAAATGAGCCAGGACTTCCTCAAGAATCTCAGGAGGGAGCAGGGCAGGTCAAACATTTGTAAATAATCACTGAACATTTGCCCCAGGCAAACAGGCAGAAAAATGGGATTTATAAAATGATGATGGCATTCTCTAATTCTTCTTACAGCAATGCTTTTGTGACACTTTAGGTCAGGCGTCCCCAAACTATGGGCCGTAGGCCGCATGCGGCCCCCTGAGGCCATTTATCCGGCCCCCCACCGCACTTCAGGAAGGGTCACCTCTTTCACTGGTGGTCAGTGAGAGGAGCACAGTATGTGGCGGCCCTCCAACGGTCTGAGGGACAGTGAACTGGCCCCCTGTGTAAAAAGTTTGGGGACGCCTGCTTTAGGTCATATTGGCTAAACTTGCACAAAATGGTACTGTTTACCGCTTTTTTTTTGAGACGGAGTTTCACTCTTGTTGCCCAGGCTAGAGTGCAATGGCGTGCTCTCGGCTCCCTGCTCACCACTTTTAAAAGCAGCAGTAGCTGCCTGCACTGAAGAGTTACTGTGTGCTGGGGCCTGTGTCAGGGCCTTGCATGCACTAGCTGAGGAGGTAGCACTGGCCCAATTTTGAGGGTGAGCAGATGAAGGCTCTTAGAGAGAAATGGACTCACTTGCCCAAGGTATTCTAGTGGCTACACATAAGAGTGGCAGAGCTGAGATTCACACCTGCATCCACCTGTGCCCTTAACTGCATCACCCCTGGGGACATCAGCTGAAGACAGCCAGGCTGGCTGAGATCCCAGCGTCCTCTCCACTAAATGTGCATTGGGGTTGCTCTGAGTCTGAGCTCCCATGCTTGAAGTGGGGCCTGTGAGCCCGTACCATTCTTGGAGCCCTTCCCTGGGCTTGCCAGCACTTACCCCCTGAGGTCGGCGATGAGGATCTGCCCTCCATTGCGCACATCGAAGATTTTGACAGACCTGTCTGATGAGCAGGTTGCCAGGCGGGTGCCATAGTAGTCCATCTGGGCGTCATGCTGCAAAAGGACGACAGCTTGGGAAGCCTGCCGGCTGAGTGGGTGGGCAGGGTAAGGGCTGTGACCACACAGAGTCTAGTTCAGACCAGAATCTCCCTGAAATTAATCTCAAAGAATCATCACCCTCAGGCAGGAAGCTAGCATGTGGACATTCTCACTTCGCTAATGGGCAGTGTCTCCCCGAAAGCGACAAGCCACACCCACCTGGCCTACCTCAGGGAAGGGCCCTTCCATTCCTGTTCCACAGAGTGGGTATGGGAGAAAAAAAGCTGGCCTAGCTGCCCTCTTCTTCCTCCATTCTCTCAGGCCCCACTCTGTTCTTAGGCTCTGTAGCTGAAGGGGAATACCCTGGGTTTGGCTCAGCCCCAGCACCTGATGCTAATGAATGGGAGCAGACCAAAGGAGTGGGTCCTCTGACTGCCTGGAGTCCCTAGTCAGGTCCTCTGTGATATAGCTCTGGCCTGGACACAGGGTTCCATTCAGATATTTGGGTTTTTTTTTCCAGCCCTGGCCCTGGATTCTTTGTGGCCCTTTGTTTTGGGGTTTCTGCTTGACCTTTTCCCTAGTGTGTCCAGAGCTTCCCAGACTTCCCCACCCAAGGAACACAATGCCTTAAGAGTCGCTGGTCTTGCCACTTGTGAACTGAATTCCTTGACGCTGACTGAGCATGCAGAACTAGGCCTGGCCCCTGCCTGCAGATTCCCCTCCACTGGGGTGACAGTCCTCTGAGGCACCATGCCTCCTGCCCCACTGAACACCCTGGTCCCTCCTGCTTGCTAGCCCTGCCTAGTCCAATGGATGTCACTTTCCCTAGCTGTCTCACCCTGGGAGCTTCAGGACTATCAGCAGCTGCACTCCCATGGCCACCAGGAGCAGCTGTGCCCAAAGGCACTCATTCTGTCTGCCTCAGATGGAAATTCTCACCTCCCTACGCAAAGAACACATCCTGATTCTTCTTTGGGAAATCCCTCCACTGTATCAGGGCTTTGTTTCTTGGAAGGCAGGCAGCACAGGGGTGTTTCTGAAGCACTTCTTATGTTTCTCAGTGGAAGGAGGCAGGACCTAGTACCTTACAGATCGAAATCCTATCTCCTTAGCTTACCTGCTGTGCAACTGTTGAAAATACTTCATCTCCTTAAGCTTGTTTCCTTATCTTTATTATTTACCAACATCCTATGGGCCTTAGTTCCCTTATGTTTAAATAAGGCTAATGATATCTGTTTCAAGGGTTGTTATGAAGGTCAAACAAGATACTGAGTGAAAAGTACTTAGCATGGGGCCTGACACTCAGTAGCATACAAATGTTTGTCATTACTACTTTGCCTCATCTGTTTCTCAAACCAAACTCATACAAATAGGTAGCACATCCCTTATTTTTCCTTCGTGAGGAAAAATAAGTGAGGCTGGTGCAGAAGAGTTAAGACATTGGTTAGGGAGTATCAGATTAGGTCTTCCCATCCATGATGCCATGCTATCTCCAAGGAGGTGTGGTCTTACAGCTAGACTACTCATGACTGAATCCAGAGAACATATACAACTCTGGGACCAGACAACCTCTAAGAAACCCAAAGCAACTGTTGGTAGACAGGTCGTGAGGGCAAGAACCCTGACATGCAACACTGTCAGTAAGCTCTCCTGGGTCTTGCTCAAAGGATGCTTGGTCCTGAATGAAGCAGAGTCCGGGTTTTTCCTGCTGTAGACTTTAACCTCTGGACCTTCTCCTGCAGCCCTGTCCTCTTATACTGAGACCCATGCTTACCTCTCAGGAAATGCCCTGAGTACAGATTTCTGGTTCAAAGGGCCTTGTCGGCCATATTGTCTTGGTGGTTTGACTGGGCTCTGCCTGGGGCTTTCACTGTGGCTGCCTTCTGCCTTTGTATTGAGTCATCCTCCGACACTCTCTTCTTTTCACCCGCCTTTCCAACGGGGCCAAGAAGTGACAGGAGGAGGAAGGCAGGTGGGAAGTCTATTGTCAAACCTGTGCACCCACCCAGCCTTCATCCCAGAGCAGGTTACTGTGTTGGCTGGAAGACCGAGAGCCTAGAACTACAAACTATTCCCAGGTTCCTCCCAGAAGAGAGTGACCAGACTGCTGCAGCCCTCACAACTGAGAGGGCACTTTTGGGGAGCCCAGCCACACTCCCTGAGATTACAGGCTAATGGGCAACCAATGCAGAGCCACTCTGGATCCATGAATGAGCAACAGAAAGGGGTAATGAAAAACCTAATTGCTTCCCTCCCACAAAAATGCCCGTGTCCACAGCCCTCCAGGGAGGGTGATATTAATACTTACAATCATGTCCTCATGGGAGGTATCCACAGTGTTAATTACTGACACCTAGAACCAAAGATATCACTGGTAAATTAACTGATGGCAGTTAGAATACAATCATCTCAAGTTCTTGACTGCATTTGTTCACTCATTCATTCATTAAGCATTCATTCTAAGTACCTTCTTTTTGCCAAGCACTGTGCCAGGAACTGGATACACAGACACAAATAAGAGGAATTTTCTGCCCCTGAGAAGCTGTTTTTTGAGGTGGAGTCTTGCTCTGTCATCCAGGCTGGAGTGCAGTGACACGATCTTGGCTCACTTCAACCTCCAACTCCCATGTTCAAGTGATTTGCCTGCCTCAGCCTCCTGAGTAGCAGGGATTACAGGCACGTGCCACCATGCCCAGCTAATATTTGTATTTTTAGTAGAGATGGGGTTTCACCATGTTGGCTAGGATGGTCTCGATCTCTTGACCTTGTGATCCACTCGCCTTGGCCTCCCAAAGTGCTGGGATTACAGGTGTGAGCCACCGTGCCCGGCCAAGATAAATTATTTAATGGTGGTGGTCTGCATATCCTACAGGAGCCTGAGGGGGATGGGGTGGTAGACATGAACTGGGCCTTAGATGATGGATAAGAATTTGCAGGTTGCACAAGGGAAAATAGTACCAGTCCAAGTGGCCAGGCAGAGGAAATACACGAGTTAAGACAAAGGGTCTGAGTGAGCTTGATGTGTGTGGGGAAATGGCAAGCAGTCCTGGCTACTCTTAAGGGTGAGGAGAGACCACAAAGGAGCTACAGCTGGTGCTCTCTTCCTGGATGACAGGGCCTCTGATGTTCCAGGCAGTTAATGCATTAACAGGGTTATTACTTCAGACTGGGAGACTTGATTCAAGTCTCAAGTTTTTCCTGAGGCTGCTTCCTGGTCCATCACCGAGTGGGATCCAGGGTTGAACAGTCTGTAGGGCTGGGACATGGTGTCATGGTCACCACTCTCCTACCCATTCTTTGAGGTCTGCCCTTCCACCCTTCTTGAAGATGTTCAGATCCTCAAATGGCTGGACTCTTGCATATCTTTAGCACTGAACATATACAATATTTTATGCTTTTTCTTCTCCACACTAGAAGGTGAGCTCCTTGGAGCCATGGTCTGAGCCACCTGCAATTTCAAATCCCCTCAAATTATCCAGCACAGCGCTTTGCAGATAGAAGGAACTCAGTGACTATTTGCTGAATCAGTAAGTAAATTAACAAAAGCTGTTACTTTTTTCTTTGCTCAACCACTATTCTCTTAAATTCTTGGGATAGAAAAGAGGACTTAAAAGGAAGGTTTGGTGTGGAACAGACATTTCTTGCCATTTTCCCCATTTCATCTTTTCCAGCACAAGCCCTGTAGGTATAAAGTTTGACCTGTGTTTTCAGAAAGGCAGACACTGGAAGAGGATGGCTGCAAAGCAGTTCAAGAGGTACACACCAAGTAAGCACAGCTTCTCTCATCAAACTCTAGACTCTCTAAAAAACAGGTCCCCGCTTTGGGAGGCCGAGGTGGGTGGATCACCTGAGGTCAGGAGTTCAAGACCAGCCTGGCCATCAGTGTGAAACCCCGTCTTGAAAAAAAACAAAACAAACAAACAAACAAACAAAAACAAAACAGGTCACCGAAGTCTGCAAAGGCAAGTAAGGACAAGAGTTTCATGTGCCAAGCTGTATAGTTTACAAAGTCCATGGGAAGGTGGGGAGAGCAGGGTACCAAGGGCAGGGTCAATCAGAGCCCTAAGACAGACTAAGGAACTGAAGAGGCCCAGAGAAAAAAAAGCACTTGCCAAAGTCACAGAGCTAGTTAAAGGCAGAGCCCCATCCCCTAACCTTCTAACTCCCAGCCCACAAAACTTCACTCCACCAGGCTGCCTGTTTAGAAGATAAAGCAGCTGTTACCCTGAGTTCTGTAAAGCTGAAGGATAAGTAGATTCAGGAAGAAAGTTTACTGAGAGGTAGTTTCAACCAGGTTACCAAAGGACCTCAGAAATAACCAGCATTTAATTCTAACCACTCTCACCCACCAGTCAGGGTTGATGACCCATGCTTCTGAACAAGACTGGGGAAGGAAGGAGGGAGGGGAAGAGAAAAGAAGGCAAGGAGACAGTGGGAGAGGTGGAGAGGGATGGCGGGAGAGGGACGGGGGGAGAGGGAAAGGGAGGGGGGAGGGGGGAGAGGGAAAGGGAGGGGGGAGGGGGGAGAGGGAAAGGGAGGGGGGAGGGGGGAGAGGGAAAGGGAGGGGGGAGGGGGGAGAGGGAAAGGGAGGGGGGAGGGGGGAGAGGGAAAGGGAGGGGGGAGGGGGGAGAGGGAAAGGGAGGAGGGAGGGGGGGAGAGGAAAGGGAGGCTTCACGTCTCCGAACCTCAAGTGTCCTCATCTGTAAAGTGTTGAGAAGAATGGCACCTTCTTCACAAGGCTGTTAGCAGGCTGAGATTGCCAACAATGCTGAGGGCTCGGTATACAGTAACTACTCTGCTGTTCCTCGTTTTGTTTTCAATTGTTAACGAAAGAGAAGGAGGGAAGAGAGACTGGTAGGAGACGCGGCAGCGGCGCGCCCCGCAGAGTCAGGGAGGTTCCTCGGCCTTATCCCTGGAGTCCCCGCCGAACAGTCCGCAAGGACAGGGACAGAGCCCCCCAAATCTCTAAGCGGTGTAGGGGAGCGGAACGGCTCCAGCCTGGGATTTGGGCCTCAGCATGGCTGAGGAACCAGTGAGGGCCGGCCGCGACCGTGGCCTTCACCTTGCTCGACCTCCTCAGTCCCAACACTCACCATGACTGCGGCGGTGGTTGCTCCAGGTCTCGGACGTGGCAGCTCCCGGCGGCGCCTCGGAACAGCTCACTTCCGGCGCAGGGGCCGCAAGCCGCCTGGCCGTGCCTCAGGAGCCTCCGGGCAGCAACGCGCTAGGCTAGCACAAAAGTTCCGCGGCGTCCAGAGGCCGCGCCCCGCCCTCCCGTGGCCCCGCCCCTATTACAGGCATCCTAACCTCCAGTGAGGCGCAAGACCAGAGGGTTGGGGTTCTGGTTGCCGCAGTGAGCCTGACCCGAGAGGCTTTGGAATTTGAAGCTCTGGTGGGTCTACTCTCCCGACCAAGCCTGCACTTTGCCTGAGATCGTAAATGAAAGGAAGGATTAATGTAACTGTCGCCTGGGTGCGGTGGCTCATGCCTGTAATCCCAGCACTTTGGGAGGCCCAGATGGGAGGATCACCTGAGGTCAGAAGTTTGAGACCAGCCTGGCCAACATGGTGAAACTCTGTCTTTACTAAAAATACCAACATTAGCCAGGCATGGTGGCACGCGCCTGTAGTCCCAACTACTCGGAAGGCTGAGGCAGAAGAATGGCTTGAATCCGGGGGGTTGCTGTAAGCCTTGACTGCACCGCTGCACTCCAGCCTGGGTGACAGAGCGAGGCAATGTAAAAAAATAAAATCTATCGGTCGGGCACGGTGGCTCAAGCCTGTAATCCCAGCACTTTGGGAGGCTGAGGCGGGTGGATCACGAGGACAAGAGATCAAGGCCATCCTGGTCAACATGGTGAAACCCCGTCTCTACTAAAAATACAAAAAATTAGCTGGGCACGGTGGTGCGTGCCTGTAATCCCAGCTACTCAGGAGGCTGAGACAGGAGAATTGCCTGAACCCAGGAGGCGGAGATTGCGGTGAGCCGAGATCGCGCCATTGCACTCCAGCCTGGGTAACAAGAGTGAAACTCCGTCTCAAAAAAATAAAAAAATAAATAAATAAATAAATAAAAATAAAAATAAAATAAAATCTATCTATCTAGCTTCACCTGCCTCCCTGCGGCTCTGGGTATGACTGGCCTTATGATGAATGTTGTAGGATGGGTGATGTCTTGGGACTGAGTAGGCTGTCCTAGTGCTTCCTTGTAGTCCCCCGCTCTCAAGCCAAGGACTGGGACCAACCAGTCCTCTGCTCTCAACCTAAGGGCAGAGGAGGCCAGGAATGCCCCTTATCAGAGGCTGGGGCCTCTTGCCCTGCCATCCCTAACCCCTGTGTAGGACTGTCCCTTCCAAACCGATCCCCTGGGGTCCTTAGTAAGTCCCACCAGGGAGATTCCCCTAGGCAGTGAAGGATCTCAGCCAAGCTTCTGCTGCTAGAGCCCCAGACCCATCCCCACAGTGCCTCCAATCCCAGGTCTCCGACTTCCCAAGGTAGGGTAGCTGAAGGCTCCCCACAAGCGCAGTGAGAATGCCACACTGGAGGACAGAGCCTGGGGGCCTCCCCTCAGCCACTGATGGTCTAGCTCTGGTCCCCTTGTGACATTGAGAAGGCAGGTGAGCTGGGGAGGCCTTGGCTCCCCTTGGGTAAGTCACAGTCCTTTAGTTTCCTCTGCTGAAACTGGGAGTGAGGATCCTAGCTGGAGATGGTCACTGCTTGAAGGAAGATGTTAAGGTTCAGATAGTGGGATAGACCCAGACTGTCAAGGAGCTTTGGAGAGGAGGCCAGGGGAGTAGGGCGTTAGAACTAAGAGCCAGGCCTCCCGGCAACTTACTTTTCCACCCCACCGCAATTTTCAAGATTTTTTATTGCCCTCTAATGGAGAAATTATTGCAGGGTGTGAGGGGGTGGTGGTTAGGGTAAAGCAGGGAACAAAGGCAGGTTGGAGTGTTTTTTTTTTTTTTTTTTTTTTTTTTTTTTTTTTTGAGATGGACTCTTACTCTGCCACCTAGGCTGGAGTCCAGTGGTGTGATCTTGGTTCACTGCAACCTCCACCTCCTGGGTTCAAGTGATTTTCCTGCCTCAACCTCCTGAGTAGCTGGGACTACAGGCATGAGCCACCACGCCTGGCTAATTTTTGTATTTTTGGTAGAGATGGGGTTTCACCATGTTGGGTGGGCTGGTCTTGAACTCCTGACTTCTGGTGATCTACCTGCTTTGGCCTCTCAAAGTGCTGGGATTACAGGCATGAGCCACTGCGACTGGCCGGATCTCCTGTTCTTCAAGGAACAGGCCCTGACCTTTGATCTGTAGCTTCACCACTGACTTTCTAGGTGATAAGTTCAAATCATTTCTTTCTGAGCCTCACTTTCTTTGAGTGGAAAATGAAGACAAAGCCATATTAGATGTAAATATAATGCATGAAGCGTAATTGTGATGAAAAGAATGTCCTCATGTAGACACTGATGTTGAAGAGATTGGGGATTTGTGACAAGCAGCTGAACTGTATCTTATTCGTTAAGGTATTGGGTATTGCTGTTGGGTATTTGGCCCATAAGGCACTGTGATAGAGAGGTTTAGAGTGCAGATGCTGACAAGAAGACTGCTAGGTGTCAGTGCTGGATCCCCTGCTTATCAGATGGGCAGAGCTGCTGTCTCCTGCTCTTTTGAGTAAGAATTATAATAATACCTCCTCTGAAGGTTGATATTGGGATTAAATGAAACCTTGGATATGAAATTGCGTTTGGAAGTTGGATGGGCCTATGGCGCTTGATTTGGGGATCAGTTCAAACTAAGAAGGGCTGTGATTGTGTGTGTGTGTGTGTGTGTGTGTGTGTGTGTGTGTGTGTGTAACACTCAACCCTTAGGCAAACCTTAGGGATTGCTTCTTGGTGTGGGCATATTCTTTCTCTGCCAGTGTTCAGCAGAGGTTTGTGAAGTCCAGACTCCTAGGGTGCCAGGCTTCCTTTTGCCTTACCCCAATCCCCAGTAGGGGATGCCACCTATATCCTGTGTCTGTATTCCCCATCTCCTCCCTCTGGTTGATCTAGACCCCAAATCAGGCTAACTTTCCCTGATTTTTGCACCCCCCCGCCCCTTGCCCCCACACCTTCTCCTCTTCCTCCTGAGATCCCTTTCCCCAGTCTTCTTCTATGAGATGGTCAACCATTCCTTATAGGTTAATGGCTTATGGCAGGGTAAGCCTGTCTCCCTCAAATGGTGGATTTTCAAAAGGTGTGACCTAGTGGAAAGAGAGACCGCCGGCTAAGCTGTGGGCCCTTGGGCAAAGTGCCTTTCCCTCCCAGGGACTCAGTTTCCCCATGAGATCAACTCACGGAGGGCAGGGACCCAGCTGTCCTTCAGAAAAAGGCCTTGTGATGTGGACCGTGTCTGCATTTCCACGTGTGCATTTATTGTTATTGCTCAGTATAGTGTTGAAAAGGCAGACAAATCCCATTAATTACAAAGAGCACAAGCCAAAGATACAGAGAAATAAAGAATGTACAATAAGAGCACAGTCACTTCCCAGCCCCGATTGTCCCAGAGCCCCCCAGAGCCCGGGCAGCTTATGGAAGCTGGAGGCGGCACCATTCCCTCGCTACTCTATTATAAAATATGTGCACACAAGAGTTAGCAAAGTGTGGTGACCCCCGAGAGGAAAGGTCCGGGAGGGAGAGCACCACAGGCATTACAAAACAGACTTAGGGGGCGGAGAAGGGCAGTCCCAAAGCAGCCTCTAATATCGTTTTCAGTGGAGGGGGTGATGGCTGCTGCCTGGGGCTGAGGACCCTCCTCCCCAACGTGGGTGGGTATGATCTCCAAATTAAAATCAGGAGAGCTTGGTTTGGAACTTTGAAAAGGCTTGGGGACTTCCTGCTGTTGTCTGACTTCTGCCCTGGCTCTGCAAGGCCTAAAAGCCTTCAAGAAATGCTCCTCCCTACAAGATCCTCTAATGGTGGGATTTTGGACACAATAGCAGGAAAGCGATTTGGGTGGGAGGCTTGTCGGAGTGCACCAGGTTGGCAGCCTCCTGTAGGTATCCCAAGAGTGGGCTAGGGGAGTGAGGGTTCCGAGAAGGCCCAGGCAAGAACTGCCTGCATCCCAAAGGTGCTGGAGACTCTGAATTAAAGAGCAAGAAGTGATCCCCCGAAACAAAATGAAACAAAAACGACAAAAATTCAGTTCAGGAGAGGGAGACAGGAATAAAAGTTTCTCCATGATGAGAATTAGAAGTGCAGACAACTGGGTCACACATTCTTTCCCAGCTCCAAGCCTGGGAGAGACTCCTCTTTCTCATCTGGACCAGGGATGGATGGTGGGTCCACGCCAACGCAACCAAGGTGGGTGACTTTGGTGCCCAAGCTAGGATTGAGTGGGGGCTGGTGGCCTCTCATGACAACTCCTGGGCTTAGGGGACAGGTGAAGCGATGGGAGGAACAGCAGGCTTCCCTCAAGATCAGGATGCCCTTTTTGTCCCTCTTTATAGGACACAGTCTATTTCTCAGCCCTGAGTGGACAGTAATTACAATGAGTGAGGGGAAGATGATGGCACAGGGAATGACAGGGCCCAAAATTTGGGATGGGAATGGGATGAGGGTGGAGGACTGGGCACAATTTAAAGTTTATGTAGAGGAATAGATGTGAGAGTAACAAGGGAATTTTGTAAAAGAAGAGTGAAGGGACTCATCCCACCGCATAATTAGACATTAGAAAGTGACCGTAGTTAAAATCGTATGGCTGTTGCCAGATGAGACACCCAGGTAAGGGAAGAGAAGAGAAGTTCCAGAAATAGATCCAAGTCTATATAAGACGTCAGCGTGTGGTAAAGATGGCATTTCAACATGGTTGGTGAAAAGAGTAGCTTCCAATAACTGGGAGACCCAGGACAACACAGGCTCAGGGTCCTTGAGCCAGTGCAGTCATTTTAATTGGTCCAGTCTCAGAAACAGAACCACCTCCTCTTGTCATCTCTATGCTGTGGTTGGGACAAGGGGACAAGGGGCGATGGTGAGAAGTTGGTGGGAGGAACAGAGGCTGCTTCTGAGTTAAAGAAAGCTCTGCCTGAGCTGCAAGAAGGAAACTCCTCAGAGCTTTCCCGGCTCACCTCCAAAGCTGAGTGATTCTCGAGCGCCAGGAGTCGCTGAACCGGCTCCCTGCCCTTCCCTCATCTGTTGAGGGGGAGACAAGTTGGTGAGCTTAGCTCTCAGAACCGAATCTGCTACCTT